CTTCGACCTTGCGATTTCAGCTTATCTTCGATTGCATAAAATGCCATTGCTTCTGCTCTTTCAGCATCGACATGACACATCAAGTCCTCGGTCATATGTTCTGTAAACGAATTTCAGAGATCTACCGGTTTTGTTGAGTTACAGAATAGAAGTGTCACACAGAAAAGTAGTCTAAACAGTTGTGGCATCTGGAAGAGTACTGCTTCAGCCATGTATCTTTCATATTCAGTATCATCACGTAATAGACCTCGTCTTTTAGCAGCATCCATAAATGTTTGACAGATCTGGCCGTCTACTGTTTTAAGGTCATCAAAACTACAGGCACCAGGAGTATGCAATAGTAATAATCGAAGGTGGTACCGTTCAACATTACTGGGGCTAACAGAGTACAATCTACCGATGACATTTCCACCTTGGAGTTGACGTTTCCATGTCCCATTACGGTCAAAAACAAAATGATGTGGGATATCATGGTAAAGATATTGTCGAGCATTTGGATTTCTGGAATTTAATTTAAAACATGCAGTAAGCGTCGTATCTTTTGTAGCAGCTCTTTCCAATGCTTGTGGTTCGTTTCCTTCAGGAAAATAAACTGGCTGCTGATTTGGAAGATGAACGGCTAATCAGATAATAGCATGAGACTTGTCATGTAATGGAAATTCAAAAAGTCTCCGTGCAGCTTCAGGTGCGCTCACATATCTTGCATCGAGATGTGTTTTAATTTCATCCCATTCAAAAGTTCCTTAAGCGGCAGCAACATCTTCTTGAACTGGTCGTTCTAATTTAATGGTAGCACAATTGTGTCCCTTGTAAATGTATTTAAATAAATATTTGATACTCTTCACAGTTGCACAGATTTCGACATTAATATGAGCATTGTATTTCATTAGTAAATATGTATTATAGGGAACTATCCATCTATTGTCAACTTCATACTTGAGGGTGTGGGTGTGGGTGTGTGGGTGGGGATGTGGATGTGGGTGTGGTTGTGGGTGTTGGTGTGGTTGTGGCTGTGTTTGGGTTTGGGTGTGGCTGTGGCTGTGGGTATGGGTGTGAGTGTGGGTGGATGTGGGTGTGGATGTGACTATTCCCCTAAACTGGAACCCACACCTCCACCTCTGCCCACACCCACCCCAACTATCTTCAATTTTTTCAAGAATCTAACGAATATATATATAAAACGATAAAACGGGAAAATTCTTAATGGAAAATCCCATGATCAATTAACAAAGAAAAGAAATCCATACAATAACATGAAAGAAAGAAGAATAGAAGGAAAGAGAAAAATCCAACGCACATAACAGGAAAGAAAAAGTTCTTGGTGCAGGGTGTGGGTGGGTGTGGGTGTCGGTATAGGCGTGGATGTGGGTGTGGGTATAGGCGTAGGTGTGGGTATGCGTATGGGTACGGGTGTGGGTAAGGGTGTGAGTATGTGTTAAAATGAGACTCATGCCCACACTCCACACCTACACCCACATCCACACCTACACCCACATCGACACCTACACCCACATCCACACCTACACCCACATCCACACCTACACC